ATCGAAAAATTAAAAATTGAACAATTTATAAATTGAGAAATTGACAATCAAAATATCGAAAAATCCAAATCTCGATAAATCGAGAAATCAAAAAACTTAAAAATTCGAAAAATTGAAAAATTGGGAGATGGAAAGATCAAAAGAACGAGAAATCGAAAAGTGATGAAGTCGAAAAATTGAAAAATAGAGAAATCGACAAACAAAAAATTAAATGTTGAAAAATTGGAAAAGCGGAAAAATCAAAAAACGAAAAAAATGGAAAACTGGAAAAACTGAGAAACCGAAATAAGCCAAAATGAAAAATTGAAAAACTGAAAAATCGAAAAATTGAAAAATAGAACATCTAAAACCAGGAAGTCGAAAAATCGAAAGATTAAGAAATATTGAAAAATTAAAATATCAAAAGATTGAAAAATCTAAAATTTAAAAATCCAAAAATTGAAAAGTCGAAAAAGTAAAAAGGTAGACACATCGGAAAATCCAGAAGTCAAAAATAGAAGAGCCGAAGAATTGAAATATTGAAAAATCCTAAAACTGAAAATCTAAAAACTGAAATATCGAAAAAATCAAAAAAGTGAAGTCGAAAAATAGAAACCTTAAAAAATCGAAAAATTAAAAAATCAAAAAATTAAAGAATTGAAGAACAGGAAAATCGAAATATCGAAGAACTGAAATGAAAAATCCAGGAGTCAAAAATCGAATCCATTTTTTGATTTTCCCATTTCTCAATTTTTTGACTTTTCAGTGTTTCGATTTTTCAGTTTTTCAATTCAAGTTTTCGAATTTCCGGGTTTTCGTTTTTCCATTTTCGATTTTTCAAATTTTCTATTATTATTATTCGACTTCCAGTTTTAGACTTTTCGATTTCTCAATTTTTCGGTGTTTTAGTTTCGGCATTTTTCAATATTTCGATTTCTCAGTTTTATATTTTTTCGTTTTTTTAGTTTTTGAATTTTAAAATTTTAGATTTTTCAATTTTTCGATTTTTTGTTTTGATTTGTCGATTTTTCAATTTTCAATTTTTTCCAAATTTTAATTTTTCAATTATGAAGACATTACCTTTTTCGGTTTCTCTATTTTTCGATTTTTCTGTTTTTCAATTTTTCGAACATTAAATTTTAGATTTTGTTTCAATTTCTTGATCTTTCGATATTTCAACTTCTTGGTTTTAGATTTAGAGGCTATTCGGTTATTCGATTTTCCATTTTTTGATGTTTCAATTTTTCAAATTCTCGATTTTTCATTTTTTCGATTGTTTCAATTTCGGATTTTCGATTTCTCGGTTTTCCCTTTTTCAATTTTACAAATTTTAAATTTTTGAAATTTCAATTTTCCCATTATTCAATATTTCGCTACTTTAATTTTCCAATTTTTTTTATTTTAGACATTTCGATTTATCGATTTGTCAGTTTTTCAGTTCTCCCATATATTTTTCAATGTAGCGGATTTTTAAATTTTTGATTTTTCAGTTTTTTGGTATTTCAATTTTTCGTTTTTACAATTTTTTAATGTTTTGATTTTTTCACGATCCGGTTTTTCAAATTTTTGGATTTTTCGATTTCTCCATTTTTCAATACATGTTTTAATTTTGACAACCTTTGCATTTCTGGATTTTTCAATTTTTCAGTTTATAACGTTTCTAAATGTTCATTTTTACGATTTCCTAATTTCTCAACTATTCGACTTTTTTATTGACCCATTTCTCAATTTTTTGACTTTTCAGTGGTTCGATTTTCAAGTTTTTCAATTAAATGTTTTGAATTTTCGTGTTATCGTTTTTCCATTTTTTAATTTTTCAATTTTTCTATTATTCGACTTCCAGTTTTCGACTTTTCGATTTCTCAATTTGTCGATAAAATTTAAAAATCGAAATATTGAAAAATTCCAAAACTGAAATATTGAAAAACTGAAAAATGAAAGAAAAACTGAAAAATGGAAAACTTGAAAAATCTGAAACCTTAAAAAAACTAAAAAATAAAAAATCGAAAAATTAAAGAATTGAAGAACTGGAATTACGAAACCTTCGAAAGACAAGAAATGGGAAAATCAAAACATCGATTAATTGTAAAATCGAAAATCTGAAAAAACTACAATTGAAAAACAGAAAATCTAAAATCGGGACTTCGAAAAATCCAAAAATTAAGAAATCAAAAATTGAAAAATGGAAAAAGTAAAAAGGTAGACACATCGAAAAATCCAGAAGTCAAAAATAGAAGAGCCCGAAGAATTGAAATATTGAAAAATCCTAAAACTGAAATATTTAAAAACTGAAAAATCTAAAATTTAAAAATCGAAAAAGTCAAAAGTCGACACACCGAAAAATCTAGATATTTTTTTTTGTCTCTTCAAGACATGCAAACTCTTCGACTTTTCATTTTTAGATTTTCCAGTTTTCCATTTTCCAACTTTTGGATGTTTCAATTTTATAGATTTTGCAATTTTTCGGTTTGCAATTTCACGAATTTTCAGTTTTCCGATTTGCAATTTTCCGTTTCGGTTTTTTATTTTCTTTATTTTTTCAATTTTTCGGTTTTTCAATGTTCTGGTTTGATAATTTTTCTTTTTTTCAGTGTGAAATCTTTCAGTTTTTGAATTTTTCAATTTTTCGGTTTGCGATTTTTGATTTGCAATTTTTCTAGATTTCATTTTAAATACATATGTAATAATAATGTCCTCTTTTATTTTGCGACTTTAGAATCGTTTAATTTTTCAATTATTAGAATTTATAACTTTTTCATTTTTATTCGATTTGTTTTTTCTTCTGTCCAATTTTTCGATTTTTAGTTTTTCAGTGTTTCAATTTTTCGTTTCGTCGGTTCTTCGATTTGCAATTTTTTGATCTTTCATTTTTATGTTCTTTCAATTTTTCGATCAAAAATTTCTCGAATTTTCAATTTTTCGATACTTCAGTTTTTCTTTTCTTCAAATTTTCAATTTGCGGTTTTTCATTTAGATTTTAATTTTATTCATTTTAACAAATGTTCAGTTTTTCAATGTTATAACTTTTGTTTTTTCAATTTTTCGATTTGCAGTTTTTCAGTTTTTCATTCTTCACTTTTCGAGTTTTCGTTTTCAAATTTTTCAGTTTTTTGATTTTCTAACTTTTGGATGTTTCAATTTTTAGAATTTTCAAATTTTCGATTTGCAATTTTTCGTTTCGATTTTTTTATGTTCTTTATTTTTGCAATTTTTCGGTTTTTCAGTGTTTGGATTTTATAATTTTTCGATTTGCAATTTTTCGATTTTCCAACATTTAGATTTTTCAATTTTTAGATTTTTTATTTTTGATTTTTCATTTTCATGATTTTTCAATTCTTTGCGATTTTAGAATTGTTTCATTTTTCAATTATGTATTGGATTTTATAACTTTTTCATTTACATATAATTTTTCGATCTTGCAATGTTACAGATTTTCGATTTTATAATTTTTTCGAATCGATTCGTTTTTTCTTCTTTCCAATTTTTCAATTTTTCGTTTCGTCAGTCCTTTGATTTGCAATTTTTCGATTTTTAATTTTTTTGTTTCTTCAGTTTTTCGATTTTGCAATTTTTCGATTTAAATTTTCTAGAGTTTTCAATATTTAAAATTTTCGAATTGCGGCTTTCATTTTCATTTTTAATTATCTGTATTTTTACAATTTTTCATTCTTCACTCTTCGACAAATATTTCAGTTTTTCGATTTTCCAACTTTTGGATGTTTCAATTTTGTAAAATTTGCTATTTTTCGATTTACAATTACACGAATTTTCAATTTTTCGATTTGCCGTTTTTTGTTTCGGTTTTTTTTTATGTTCTTTATTTTATCAATTTTTCGGTTTTTCAGTGTTCTGAGTTTATAATTTTTCTTTTTTTCAATGTGATTTTTTTTAATTTTTCGATTTAAAATTTTTCGTTTTTTCAGTTTTTCTAGATTTCGTTTTAAATATGTAATAATAATAATCTCTCCAATGTTGGAATTTTAGAATTTTCATTTTTTAATTTTCCAGTTTCGATTTTTAAGTTTTCAATTTCTCGACGTTCAATTTTTTAATTACACCTTTTCGATTTTGCAATTTTTCGGATTTCCAATTTTTCGATTCGATTCGTTTTTCTTTTTTCCAATTTTTAGATTTTCTTTCTACGTTTTCGATTTTGCAATTTTTCGTTTTTTCAGATTTTTAATTTCTAATATTTTCCTGTCTTTTTACTTTTTCGATTTTCCAACTTTTCGAATCAGAGAAAGGGAAAAATTGGAAATTGTAAAAACCGAAAACGTATAAAATGAACACTCGGAAAAATCTAAATATTGGAAATTAAGAACTAGAAAAATTGAAAAAACGAAAAATAGGTCGAAATCGAAAGATTAAAAATTAAAAATCGAAAAAGTGCAAAATGTGAAAATCGATAAAGTAAAATAATCAACAAATCGAAAAATCCAGGAGTCAAAAATCGAAAAGTCGAAGAATCGAAATATTAAAAAATCCCAAAACTGAAAATCCAAAAACTGAGAAATTAAAAAATTGAAAATTTGAGAAATCGAAAAATGGAAAAAGTGAAGTTGAAAAATCGAAACCTAAAAAAATAGAAAAATTGAAAAACCAAAAAAACCTGAAAAATCGACAAATAAAGAGTTTATAAAAGTCAAAAATGAAAAAATCGAAATATTTAAAAATCGCAAAATTGAAGAGAAAAACTGAAAACTGAGAAATTGAAAAATTGGCTTATAAAAAATCGTTTCCGGACGCTTAAGGTCGACATTGGCCTGAGTGCGCTCTGGTCTGTAGATCAAACAAGTTCACAAACGACGAACTGTCATTCGTGTGCCCTGACTTAAAGTGAAAATATTATGACATTTTTTCTATTGTAGTTAATTTTATTCCTAGTTAGAAACAAACACTGTTGCCAACATAAGTCGAGGAGTCCTCAACCGTCATTTAATTTAAACTATGACGCTTCTCTACGTTCTCTGGTAGTAATTTGTCAAATTGGTTGTCAACCCTGACATTTCAAACGTCGCAAAAATGACCAACCACCCCCACCCAACCACTGCTACCATGCCCCATGGTACATGGACTTCTGTATAGGAGCTGCGGCTGCAATGGCAGCAACCTTGCTCACCAATCCCTTCGACGTCCTAAAAACACGAACCCACCTCCAAGGGGAACTGAAAACCCGTGGCAATTACGTAGCCCACTACAAAGGCCCTTTCCAGTCAATCGCCATCATCATCAAAAAAGAAGGCATTCTGGCCCTTCAAAAGGGTCTTCTCCCGTCTGTACTCAATCAAGGGGTGCGAAATGGCATCAAGTTGGGCTTCTACGGGTGGTTGTCGAACTCGGGCTACCTCTGCGACGCCGGTAACAGGACGATTTTTTACAACAGTTTGGTGGCTAGTGCTTTTGGTGGTGGCGTGGGGGCGTTTCTGGGGACCCCCTTGTATACACTGACTACGCAATTTCAAGCGAAGGCTTCCCCGGAGATTGCTGTGGGGTACCAACACGAGCATACAAGTCTTGTACAGGCCTTAAAAACGACTTATAATACTTCCGGTGTAACTACAACCAACGGCGTTGCTTTAGTTTTTACTGAGCTTAGTTCTAGGTTCGAGGTTTATGGAAAGGGACGAACGCCAATGTTGTTAGGTCGGTTGTGGGGGCTGCGGCACAGCTTACCACTTTCACTCAGACGAAGGAAGTCCTTCGGGAATACGAAGTATTTCGTTATTCCAGAGTTTTGACTGCTTTTATTGCTGGTACTTTTGGAGGGATTTGTCAAAGTCTGCTTCAAACTCCCTTCGATCTTGTTTGTGTAAGGGTGAATAATCAGTGTATTAGTTTTCGATTTTTGGTCTTGTGGATAATTGTCGGAATTTTTACAGATGTTGACCCAACTGGGAGAGGAGCACTCTACCAGGGAATGATCGACTGTTTTTACAAAATCGTCAAATACGAAGGGGTTTTGGGACTATACAAGGGCTTTCTCATTACTCACATTAAGAATGGCAGACATACAACTCTGTACTTAATGTTCTGGGAGCTGCTGAAAGCCCATCAATACGATGTTCGTCCAATAAAAGACCCCAGTCGTAGTTGTTATTACGACTCTAGGGACATTTAAGAAGATCCATAAACGTAAACTCAAATTTGTATCTATAGTCAGATTTTAATAAAGAACAAAAAACACCAACCGACCAATAAAAAAATCAACCAGAGTGCCACAGAATCATCAGTGAACGATGTACCATATGACAGGTAACAACAGTGGTCGCAGCCAACTCTAAATCAAAAGTTTTTAATCAGATGCTATTAGATCTGTTCTAACTCCTTTTGTTTTCGCGTGTGGATCAATTGTGTGTATAATGGGTTGCATATACTCATTTATTTAGTATAATAATTAATAACATTTTTTAAAACCTTGGAAAAATATTACTAAAAATGTGAGAAAAGCATTACTTCATTTCTGATTTTTGTATGATGAGGGCCCAAAAATAATCATTTCTGTTTTTTAGATATTTTACAACTAACGGAGAAAAACGCACGTTGGTCCGGCACCTCCACCATTTATAGTGAAACATTCATTTACCGTTTGAAACATGTTTTAAGTTTCTTGTTGTCGAAATAAGTCTACACATATTAAGAAAACAAGGCAAAATGTAGCCCCGCCCACCCGCCCTATCTCAATTGTGGCGATTTTTCTTTATTCGTTGTCAGCCAAAGGGGTGGAGCTTAACTGCGAAATTTCTGTACGAGAAATTAACATGTTCCTTGAGTATCGTGTTGTTCAAAGAATGTTATGTATATCAAGAAAAAATTAAAGCCAAAGATCAAGCCCCACCCATACTTGACCTGGTCTAAATATGTAGTAATGAAGTTTTCATTCGTTGCCAGACCTAGGGGCGGAGCCTAATTGCAAAATCCACATTTCCCTACAAAAACTGACCGTTTTAAACGTGTTTTAAGTTTCTTAAAACAAAAAAATCATCACAATTGAGATGGGGTGGGTGGACGGGGTTTATCTTTTGCCTTTTTTTTTCTTAATATACATAGTATCCTTTGAACAACACGATACTCAAAAAAACATGTTTTTAATTTCTTGTAAAGAAATAAGTATGTTGCAGTTAAGCTTGGTTAACGGCGAATAAAAAAAAATCTACACAATTGAGATAGGGCGGGTGGGCGGGCTTACATTTTGCCTTTTTGTTTTAATATGTGTAGATTTCTTTTCACAGTATGAAACATATGTTTAAAATGGAAAATTTGTATGAAGAAAAATCGATTTTGCAATTAGGCTCCGCCCCATAATTGCAAAATCCATATTTCCTTGCAAACATGTACCATTTCAACCATGTTTTAAGTTTTTGTTGTGAAAAAATGGCTACATATATTAAGAAAAAAAAAGGCAAAATAAGCCCCGCCCACCCGCCCTATCGCAATTGTGATGAATTTTTAATTCATTGTCACACCAAGGGGCGGAGCATAAATGCAAAATCGATGTTTCCATACAAACATTTACCATCAAATCGAATCGGACTAGAGCTGAATAAGCTCCGCCCACCCGCCCAGTCTCAATTGTGATGATTTTTTTATTCGTCGTGAGCCGAGGGGTGGAGCTTAGTTGCAACCGCAACCCTCAAGTTTCTCCAAGAAATTACCAAGTGAAACATTATTTTAAATAGGTAATCGTGTTGTTAAAAAAGATTTGTGTATTAAATAAAAAAGCAAGCCAAGGATTAAGCTCCACCTATATTTGCCCCGATATCAATTGTGCCGAAGTTTTACAAGAAAAAATTAAAGCCAACCATCAAGCCCCACCCATACTTGGCCTGGTCTAAATATGTAGTAGTGAAGTTTTGATTCGTTGCCAGACCTAGGGGCGGAGCCTAATTGCAAAATCCACATTTCCCTACAAAAACTGACCGTTTTAAACGTGTTTTAAGTTTCTTGAAACAAAAAAATCATCACAATTGAGATGGGGTGGGTGGGCGGGGTTTATATTTTGCCTTTTTTTTAATATACCTAGCAGTCTTTGAACAACACGATACTAAAAAACATGTTTTTAATTTCTCGTAAAGAAATAAGTATTTTGCAGTTAAGCTCCGCCCCATTGGTTAACGGCGAATAAAAAAAAATCTACACAATTATTGAGATAGGGCGGGTGGGTGGGCTTACATTTTGCCTTTTTGTTTTAATATGTGTAGATTTCTTTTCACAATATGAAACACATGTTTAAAATGGAAAATTTGTGTAAAGAAATATTGATTTTGCAATGAGGCTCCGCCCCATAATTGCAAAATCCATATTTCCTTGCACAAATGTACTATTTTAACCATGTTTTAAGTTTTTGTTGTGAAAAAATGGCTACATATATTAAGAAAAAAAAAAGGCAAAATAAGCCCCGCCCACCCGCCATATTTCAATTGTGATGATTTGTTTTATTTATCGTAAACCGAGGGGTGGAGCTTAATTGTAGTCCTCAATTTCTCCAAGAAATGAAAAGTAAAAAAAAGTCAAGGGGCGGAGCTTGATTGCAAAATTGATTTTTCTCTACAAAATTTACCATTTTAAACATGATTTAAGCGTTTCTTGTTGTAAAAAGGTGGCTACATATATTAAGACAAAAAAAAGGCAAAATAGCCCCGCCCAATCTCAATTGTGATGATTTTTTTTATTCGTCGTGAGCCGAGGGGTGGAGCTTAATTGCAACCCTCAAGTTTCTTCAAGAAATTACCAAGTGAAATATTATTTTAAATAGATAATCGTGTTGTTAAAAAAATGTTTGTGTATTAAGTAAAAAATCAAGCCAAGGATTAAGCTCCACCTATATTTGCCCCGATATCAATTGTGCCGAATTTTTCATTCACTGTGACACCAAGGGGCGGAGCATAATTGCAAAATCGATACCAGCCTACAAAAAAAAAAAAAACATACCACCCTAGAAAAATTTACCGTTTTAAACATGTTTTAAGTTTCTCGTTGTGAATAGATTACATATATTGAGGGGAAAAAAGGCAAAATAAAAAAAATTGTGTATTAAGTAAAAAAGCAAGCCAAAGATTAAGCTCCACTTATATTTGCCCCGATATCAATTGTGCCGAATTTTTGATTCATCGTGACACCAAGGGGCGGAGCAAAATTGCAAAATCGATACTACTCTACAAAAATTTACCGTTTTAAACATGTTTTAAGTTTCTCGTTGTGAATAGATTACATATATTAAGGAAGAAAAACGCAAAATATACCCCGCCCACCCGCCGTATCTCAATTGTGATGAATTTTTCATTCATTGTCACACCAAGGGGCAGAGCATAAATGCAAAATCGATATTCCCATACAAAAGTTTACCATCAAATCGAATCGGACTAGAGCTGAATAAGCCCCGCCCACCCACCCAATCTCATTTGTGATGATTTTTTTTATTCGTCGTTAGCCGAGGGGTGGAGCTTAGTTGCAACCCTTAAGTTTCTCCAAGAAATTACCAAGTGAAACATTATTTTAAATAGATAATCGTGTTGTTAAAAAAAAAATTGTGTATTAAGTAAAAAAGCAAGCCAAGGATTAAGCTCCACCTATATTTGCCCCGATATCAATTGTGCCGAATTTTTCATTCATTGTGACACTAAGGGGCGGAGCATAGTTGCAAAATCGATACTACCCTACAAAAATTTACCGTTTTAAACATGTTTTAAGTTTCTCATTGTGAATAGACTACATATATTAAGAAAAAAAAAGGGTAAAATAAGCCCCGCCCACCCGCCCTATCTCAATTGTGATGAATTTTTCATTCATTGTCACACCAAGGAGCGGAGCATAAATGCAAAATCGATATTCCCATACAAAAGTTTACCATCAAATCGAATCGGACTAGAGCTGAATAAGTCCCGCCCACCCGCCCAGTCTTAATTGTGATGATTTTTTTATTCGTCGTGAGCCAAAGGGGCGGAGATTAACTGCAAAATCTTTATTTCTCTACGAGAAATTAACATGTTCTTTGAGTATCGTGTTGTTCAAAGAATACTACATCAAGAAAAGATTAAATCCAAAGATCAAGCCCTACCCATACTGACCTGGTCTAAATATGTAGTAATGAAGTTTTCATTCGTTGCCAGACCTAGGGGCGGAGCCTAATGGCAAAATCCACATTTCCATACAAAAACTAACCGTTTTAAATGTGTTTGAAGTTTCTTAAAATAAAAAAAAATCATCACAATTGAGATAGGGCGGGTGGGCGGGCTTACATTTTGCCTTTTTGTTTTAATATGTGTAGACTTCTTTTCACAACATGAAACACATGATTAAAATGGAAAATTTGTATCAAGAAATATCGATTTTGCAATTAGGCTCCGCCCCATAATTGCAAAATCCATATTTCCTTGCAAAAATGTACCATTTTAACCATGTTTTAAGTTTTTGTTGTGAAAAAATGGCTACATATATTAAGGAAAAAAAAGGCAAAATAAGCCCCGCCCACCCACCCTATCTCAATTGTGATGAATTTTTCATTCATTGTCGCACCAAGGGGCGGAGCATAAATACAAAATCGATTTTTCCATACAAAAATTTACCATCAAATAAAATCAGACTAGAGCTGAATAGTGGTCAGAAATGAACTCAAAATCACGAATCTGTGATTAGTTTTGAGACGCTTTTTCAATTAGTGGAGAAAAACTCATTAATCCGGCGCCTCCACCATTTTAACAACTTAAGAAAACTAAAATACCTACACACAATACTTTTTCTAAACGATAAATAGGTTGGTATTAATTTGTCAAATTTTCGACCGCCACTGTCAACCCCGACATTTTAAATGTCATTAATCCGGCGCCTCCACCATTTTTAACTTAAGAAAACTAAAATCCCTACACAACTAAATATTATCTAAACATTAATGTAGGTTGGTATTAATTTGTCAAATTTTTCGACCGCCATTGTCAACCCTGACATTTTAAATGTCGCAAAAATCCAACACCTTTAAAATAAATATTCTCTACCACAATTACAGTTACCATGCCCCATAACCCCCAAACATGGATTTCTGTGTAGGAGCTGTGGCTGCAATGGCATCAACCCTAGTCACCAACCCCCTCGACGTCATAAAAACACGAGCCCAACTCCAGGGGGAACTAACCGCCCGGGGTTACTACGTACCCTTCTACAACGACTCTTTACAGTCAATGCGCATGATCATCCAAAAAGAAGGCTTTCTGGCCCTTCAAAAGGGCCTTCTTACGTCTATACTCCACCAAGGCGTGCGAAACGGCGTCAAGTTGGGCTTGTACGAATGGCTGTCTTTCAAGGGCTTCCTCTGCGACGACGTCAACACGATTAATTTTTACAACAGTTTGATGGCTAGTGCCTTTGGTGGCGGCATGGGGGCGTTACTGACGACGCCTCTGTATAGGCTGAGTACGCAGTTTCAAGCGAGGGCTGCGCCGGAGATTGCTGTGGGGTACCAGCACCGACATAGCGGTCTCGTGCAGGCTTTAATGTCGACTTATAGGACTTCCGGTGTAACTACAACCAACAGCGTTGTGTTAGCTTGTATTAAGTTTAGTTGTAGGTTCAAGTTTTATGGAAAGGGACGAACGCGAATCTTGTCAGGTCGGTGGTGGGGGCGGCGGCACAACTTACTACTTTTAGTCACGTGAAGGAGGTCCTTCGGGATTACGAAGTATTTCGGTATTCCAGAGTTTTGACGGCTTTTGTTGCTGGGACTTTTGGAGGGATGTGTCAAACTATATTCCAAACTCCGTTTGACCTTGTTTGTATAAGACTGAATAATCAGTGTATATTTATAATTTTTGGTTTTATGGATAATTATATAATTTTTTGCAGATGTTTACAAAAATGGGAAAGGAGCACTATATCAGGGAATGCTTCACTGTTTTTACAAAATTATCAGATATGAAGGGCTTTTTGCACTGTACAAAGGGCTTCCGATTTTTTATGTTAAGAATAGCAGACATACAACTCTGTATTTAATAGTCTGGGAGTTGCTGAAAGCCTATCAACATGACGTTCTCCTAATAGAGGATAGCCCTCACAGTTGTTACCACGACCCCGATGACATTTAGTGTTTTTTTTTTTAAATCTGTGAACACATCCCGCCATTTTGTACCCAAGTAAATATACATATTTTTAATCTTACAAACGTTTATTCAAAATTTTAATTACTTAACTGGTACATTGGCGAGCGTCTTCGCCACCACAGCTCCTTTCTCGGGAACCATCAACGGCACCCCTTTATAACAAGCCCTCAAAGCCCCATCTGTGTGTAAATCGGGCGCCACCGTCTCGAAAATCTTCTTTTTCGGATTCATTACCGGATCCGGCTGCCTTGTGTACCCCTCACAGTGGACAGCCTCACCCGGCGAACACCCCTCTGGCGGAACCAAAACCTCCACCCCCTTTTCGCTGCTCGCACACATCACCATAGCTTCCGAAGTAATCCCGCGCATCTGCAACCCCACAATAATCTCCACCCACAACCAAAATCAACTTTACCTTCACGGGTTTCAGATTACACAAAAGCATAACCACGCGATCCCGCAGCTCCTCAATGGGGACATGTTTCACCAACCCCGAACACACAGTCCGCGGTTTGTCTTCGCCGCAGTTGATTTTGAGCAAATACAAAGTATCGGCGTCGGGGTGTCTTTGCACGTCTTCGATTTTCGCGATGCGCAGATCCAGGCGGCCGATGTCCACCGGAAGCTCGGCTGGGGGGGCTTCTTTCGGTTTTTTCTCTTTCTTGGGTTTGGTTTCTTTCGGTTTTTGCTCGACGGGTTTAGCGGGTTGGGGGTCCTCACTCACCTTGGTGGTTTGGTTCGGGACAGGAATTTGCTTTATTCCGTTTTTTACTTCCAGCTGGACCAAACGAGTTTTGGCTTCTTCTACCGCCGCAAAGAGTTTCGCATTTTCTTCACGTAGTTGTTTAGCTAAGAGGGTGTTGTATTCGGTGTTTAGGAAACTCAACTACAATGATAGTTTTCAGACACAGTAAAATCAAGGGGGACCTAACCTCATTTTTTAGTTCTTGGATTGTTTGTTTTGCAGACTCGGCGTTTTGTTTGATGCGGTCTATTGAGGACATTTTGAGAATATGACGCAAGTGGGACCTGAAAAGGGTCACACAGTTAATAAATGACGACATTTTTGCCGCATTACTAACCTCAAATAGTTAAGTTCGGGGGGTTGGTAGACCTGAGATTCTGTCACTCGTCGTGTCAAACTATCATACTAAAGCTGGCTTCACACTTATGTGACTCACTAAAGCACCACTTACAATAAAACTAGTCTGTTTAAAAACGATTTAATATTTTTTACTAAATGTTACATTGGTGCATCTACGAGAAACCACAGCGACCTCGCTTCAACCGCTTCCCGTCTGACAATTCTCTTCTTATCGTCGACCACTTTTCCTAAAACTCGCACCACCTCTTGTTTGTGGATAAGCAATTTGTACACTGGAAAACTGGACGTGACTTCTTGCAAACACTGCAATGCTAATATCCGCACTTTCTGTAACGACAATATTATAACACGAAACCAACCAACAAAACAAATAAGTACCATTGACTTGTCAAAAGTAGACAACTTTAAAAACCTTGTCAAAAAATCACCAAGATGATCCTCCATACATTTCTCTTTTTGGGTTATAAAATCTTTGATTATGTTTAACAAAACTACTAGAACTTCAGGCTCTTCGCTCTCGTCCAAACAAAGAACGATCATTTTTAATATCTGAAAAACGTGAATAGAAAAACGCGGGAGTGATTATAACGTTACCTTTTGAAACTGCATTAAAATCACTTGTTTTGGGGTACTTTCCAGCAAGTAACCCAGCGCTAGTAAATAGGAAACACGACCTGGTTGATAATTATCACATAACCTGTTACACACTAGAGTGAAAAATTTCTGTTGGTATAAAATTGCTGTAATGCAGTGGCTTTTCGGGCTTAGCGCATCAAAACTGTCGTTTATAACAATACGAAAACAAACTGCCGCATTTGTATCATTTTCTAGGAGTTCTAACAACTAAAAATTGACTCAGTTGAAACTATTTAACATTTAAAAAAATCTTACTTTTTCGGTCCAACTGTTCGCCGTTGTGTGGTTTCGCATTACTAAAGCTTTAGTAACCCACGATATCGTGGTTAAGTCGGTTTGATTTTTGTTAATTCTGTCCAAACACAATGGTAACTTATCCTCATCACACTTATTGATAATATTTGCCAAAAGTTGAGCTGCCGTACTTTTAATAAAATTATCACTCTCTCGAGTAATCAGGGCAGAAAGATCGTCCACTACTCTATAATCGATTTCTACATCTCTCCTTAAATTACAAAGGAGTCCATCTAAGAGGAAAACGCGCCTTCCACTAACTAAATCGACTCTAGATAGTTCTTTGATAATCTCAGTTTGTCTTTGACTGCTCTGTTTCCCGATTATCGATTTCAGGATAAAATCTACATCCTGTAAACATTTTATCTCCGCGTTATTTTCATTAAGCAAACTCCAGTCAATAAGAAGCTTAATTAAATTCTTTTCATAGATAATATTGACAACATTGTCATTATTTTCATATTTATTAATCAAATTTCGTAACGATTTAACAACAACTTGCCCCAGATTGACACTCTTTTGTAAATAGTCAAGAAATATATCTATAACGATATTAGTGAAATTACCATCCGCCGCAATCACACACAACGCATTTAAATAACCCTCCAATGTAATTTCGCTTGTAATTTCCCCATTATTAACCAATCTGTCTCTTATTTCGTCCGCGAAATTTGTAGCCAATTCGTTAAAACACTCAAGGATTGAATTTCTCACATCTTTAGCTTGTGGTACCAACAATAACTTCTGCAAATTATCGTACACCGAAAATCTAACCTCACTAGACAAAAATTTAGCGATTTGTTTCAATCCATCAAATCCCGCTTTTCTCAACTCGTTACTGTCATCTAGTGACGCCTTCACACACAAAATCGGTACTTTTTGTAACTCCTCGCACTCAATCACTTGATGCAGTGCCACGTAACTATCAAAAAACTGTATCAGTGTTTTCAAAACTACCGCCCTGTGTGACGGTGTCGTCGAAATATTAAAAGTATTAACAAAAATTGGAACTACGTCTTTAGTGATTAAATCTGAAGAAAGCGGCGATCCGTTTGCCACACCAAGTAACAATTTAGCTGAAGGCTCAAACAATTTCGAGTCCGGCAGCAAGTTTCGTTTAATCGTGTCTGAAATATCTTTGACCGTGGTAGTCACCGCCGCATCGCTGGAAATTTTTTTTATAAGAGCCGTCAAAGTTTTCAAACACGCGTTATCTACAGCCGGATTTGGGTTACTAAACATTTCTTTCTGGATCTGTGACCATATTTCTGTTGAGTGTTGGACGTACGACGAAACGTCAAACGATGCACACCCGATTTCCTACAAACAGCGTTTAGAGTGCGCTTCGCTTTGACAGGAACTTACTAGTAAGTGTAGAGCGTCGATTTTTGCGATTTCTAAAGACGATTCTAGCTTTTCTAGCGCTAAAGGGAAGCAAAATTCGGCGAATTGTGGAATGGCGGTGAGGCAAGGAGCCAATGAATTTGCTAACTGATCTCTAGTGATGGCCTGAAATCACGTTACTTAAGTTAAGTCATTATTGGTTGTAACGTACGTTCGAATCTTGCGCCGGCGCTTTAAAATCGACTGGGAAATAGCAGGCGAGGACTTCAAATGCTTCTTCTGTTAGGTGGCCCAAATTCACCGTTTTGAGTAACTTGGGAAACCAATTAAATAGTAGAACTAAGTTCTTCGGGTTTCTTTCGCCGTCGACGGCTGATATTACGCCATAGATGTAATCTAACCCCATTGTACACAGTTCTGGAAATTATTTGTTTGTTAAAACATACAAACAAACAAAAAAATTGGGTGAACTACCTGTGGGGCATCTGCTTAGCAGCACTTGAAAGATCTTGTAAATATTGTGTCTGTCGTGCTCTTGTTGTTGCTGGCATGCCACATTTTGAAATAAAGCTGAAAGTATTTGTGCAGCTGCCCCACTTGGAAATTGATCGAATTTAGCCAAAGCCAAAACTCCGACAAGAACGGCAGGTATGACCTAAAATCACCAGTAATATTTTCGTCCACCAAAGCAAAATTGTACCTGGTGGTGATCCTTAAGCCTATCGGCGTAAAAAGTACAAATAAATTGAAGTTGTTTTTCATCGAAGTGGCTTGCTGGCAAACCTTGAAGAACGTGTGTTAAAATCCACGTGCCTAACTCGCGATTTATTGGTGCTACATCCACCAAAAACGTCCCCAATTGTTCCACTAACTGCACGATTGTTAATCGACCAGAATTTATTTCTACAAAGTGAGGTTATGTCAAACTTACTAGAACACATGCAATTGTCACTCACCTTCCACTAAAAGCGCACATTTTTTAGTAAATTCAACACTCTCTCTACTTAACTGCCGGAATTCCTCTATCAAATTACTATCGACTTCCATTCTCGCACAAAAATAATAAAAAATGACTAAACCTAACCTCAATTTGACTCGGCTCGACAATCAAGGTTTTTTAAACGGGTGCACCAATCACAAGCAAGCACGTGACTTATCGCTACATCGCGATTGGTTAGACGTCACAATCACACAATTAAACAGGACCGTACTCGACATTTTATTGATTCCGCAGTGATAACAATAATTGACTAAATCGATCACAAATAAAAATGAACTAATACTGTTCACCCATCATCATTACCACCAACGCCGTCCAGCCCGTGAAAGGTCGACACCCACTGCCTTCTCCCGTTTCGTCGTTATATTGCTCCCACAAATAGCCAGTCGTAAAATATTGATTCATGACATTTTCGATAACGTTCCCCCTCAGTTCCCTATACACTTTCGTCGCTTTCTCCTTAAACGGCCCGTCTGTGTGTGCGTAAAAGTGCAACGACCGCACCGCCAGAAAATTAATATTAATCCAAATTTGCCCCCTCCAATATGGCGGGTCGTGCTCTGTGTTTCTTTTCATATACAGTGGCGAGTTTTTCGAAAGCGATCTTAAACCGTAGTTCGTCCATAACAAATCCGGATTGCGCATGTCGTCTAGAATTTGGTTCAGTTTCGGAGAGTCCGGTTCTAGAATTTGTAGCAAGAACGGGAAGAGGCTGACGTAACCGAACGTAGAGTCCACCAGGCGGTACTCCGGATTCTTCAAGGTCACACGTACCATTTCCATGTTTTGATTTTGCGAGCGGGGTAGCGGTTTCGGGCGTTTTAGTTTGACAGAATCGGTGTGGTAACCGTAGTCTGCGTAGCGCTCCGCGAAGTTCGACCAGTGTAAGCTATCCATGAGGTCATTGTCTTTGAGGTAGTCTGCAGTTTGTTCGTATTTGTACCCGTCGCGGTCTAGCAGTGTTGCCAACTTGGCTAGAGTGTCAGCGGCTATTGCTATCCAACAATAGAGGTCAATGTGGTGTTCGCTTTCAGTGGGATGCGAAGCTCGGGGGTAGTCGTCTAGACCTGAGGTGAGTGTTTTCGGGTTTAGTTCTCGGTTGGTTAGAGGGTCGCGACCGCGCCACCTGTACGACCCAGGTACTGACCCTTTTTGGGTTGTGTTGAACCAACTGAACCACGCCTGCAGTCGCGGGTATAGTCGCTCCAGAGTGGCCAGCCTGCCTTCAGACAAGTGGTTGTAGTATTTTTTTAGGATGTATTGCAACGTTAGGAAAAAAGTGGGCGGGTTGGCGTTAGTGTTACGTTGTACCACGAATTCTTCCGGGATTTTCGCTAGAGCTTCAACCCCTAGGATTTGCTCCCGAGGGATCCACCCCTCCACGTTCATCAAATCAAACCAATGACTGATTATATCTAATTCTACATCTAGATCCCACGTACTTATTAATAAGCCGTGGAAACCCTCGTCCCAGAGGAATCCCCGTGGGAAAAAACTACGAGACGGGACTGCCGTGTAGAGAGGCGCTCGCCAGTAATGTACTGGCTCTTTTGTATAAAAATTTTGCACTTTGGAAGTTCCAAAAAAGTAACCTATGCCTCCTAACATGTTACTGAGGGCGGCTTGAGCAAAACTTACTTCTTTCGGGCTATACCTGAAACCCAAAACTATAGACCGATTTTCGGGCGCGAAAATACTAACCCTCTTTTTTGTAACCCGAAAGTGTCTTCAAATCTTTGCGTGAAACGCGCCTGGTGCCAACTTAACGCTTTCGTGTAAGTTTCACCCACTAGGGTGTCCTGTCTCGTGCCGAAACTTCCCGATTCGAAAACGACGTCCACCGAAAATGGAACTCTTCCGGTTAGTTGGACTGCGACGAAGTTCGGCTCTGCCTAATAACAAAACATGAATGTGGGCGTGTCGTTTCGTTACCCCCACCACAATTTTGATGACGTCACTCTTACCTTGCTTGTTCCCGCTTCCGGGAGAAGTTCTCCCGCTAACACAATCCGTCTTGGCGCCGCTGGTTTATCCTGAGCCAATCGCAACGAAGCCACGACTGTCTCTTTCAATAAATGCAACCCTGGTGCTATTGTACTTAAAAAGGATTCGTGGAGAACCTCCCCTGAATGATTGGTAAATTTAATGGTAAACTCCCCCAAACCCGACGACTCCCCCTTGATCCCGGTTAGTTTCGTCGCGGAGTTAGTCAATGAAATGAAGCCTTTAGTTTCTTCATCTAGAGCGGTGTACCACACGAGTGAAATGTCTTCACCTTGAGACCGCTGATTTTTGAAATTTGGCTACAAATTTTAATTAATCGTTAGTATGACAGTCTGAATGGTGTATACTTTCAAATCGACGGAAATTCGCGCAGTCCAATCCCCACCATGACTTCCACCTAACCTCTTTACAAAAGAAGTGTCAACGACGTGGACGCCATCTATGATTTGTTGTACCCCGAAAGTGCTGCCATCGTGTTGGAGCCAACCGTACTTTTCTAGACCGTCGCCTTGCTCACACCAGTGTCTACGAATTTTATTGTTTATGGTGTCTGCCTGTGACAGTTTTTACCTTATGCCATCACCACCTGGTTTCAGACGTTTGGGGAAGTACCACATTAACCCCGTCACTACCGACGTGGGGTCCCTAGTTTTCAAACCAAAGTACAACCCTGGTCTATAAGTACCCCAAAACTGCTCTGGTACTTCTAGCCCGCCCCTAACCACCATCTACAACCCACAATTAACTAACAAACTTAAAGTCATCGGGACGTACTTTTTTGTCATCAAATGGTGTGTTCACTCTGGTTTCAAGGTACCCCATGTACCCCAACGTGACAGCAATACCCAGAACAATGCACCCGATTATTTGTTTCCAATACGACAACAAACTCGTCGTTTTCCTTGATCTGTTGTTCGTGGAGTTGCTACCATTGCTGCTGCTGCTGTTGGTACCTTTGTCGAGTTTTGTATCTACCTGATTGGCAATCCGTCTCTGCCGGGCCATGATTGAGGTTAGAATGCGCGGCTACTCCATGCAAAGTTGTAACAGAAATAAAGTGCCGAGTGTATCAAAGACACATTCCAGAATTTTAATTTTGGTTGTTATCGCTTCGAGAGACACGTAATTTAGCGTTTTTGTACTTGTATTGACATTCTGTCGAAAAATGTCAAAAACAAAGGATAAGCGCCAGGACGGCCAACCTAAAAAGGGACAGGTGGACATGTTTCGATTATTTCGTCTGCGATTTCGAGATAACACAATTAAGTGGTGGGTTATCAGCTGGATTTTTAATTTTTCTAGTTCGTGGCAGAACAAGTGCGTCTGATACCGCGCCAGACTTTTTTAACTAATTAAATTATGTCAAGGACAAACCAAAACCAGTGGCGTAGGGCATCTTTTGATTGTCACTTTTCCTTCTTTATTTGAGTAGAGTTTGGACCGTGTTGACTTAACTTATTTTACAATTAATAAATAATAGCAATAGCGTGACGATTTTTGTAAATACAGTTAAAAAAAAATTGTCGCGTGTTTCACCCCCAACCCTCCCAAGGAGTGTAGCGCCGCTCCAGATACTATTCGCTCTGTGTAGCAAAACAGGCCAAACCCCCAAAATAGACCCATTTAACGCTAATTACCTCTTCCGCGTCTTATTTTTATAACCTAACTCCTCGAAAGTCGTCCGTTTCTAGTGACATTCGCGCCGCTCGCTTGGTACGCGTCCCCTAATCTAGTGGGAAATGCAGCCGGCTGTCTGTTTATTTCCCCGTCAAACCTAAATATCTCCACAAATAAACAAAATGTTTGCGTTCCGACGCCCCTTTCGCGTGTAGTGATGTACTCGGGTAGTGATTCCACTGAATCCCAGAACTACTCCCAGTGGGCATTGAACCCGTCCACCTACCAGAGCATGTCGAACGAGCAGGTGGACTGGGCCGCTTTGGCGCAGCAGTGGATCATAATGAAGGAAGCGGGCCCCCCTCCGGTGATGTCCAGTGAGTCCCCGAAACTCCCGCCGAAGAAGGAGCAACTCAACGAGGGCGGCGAAGCCCCCATGGACGTGGAGAACGAGAAGGAGGAGAGCGCGTCGGATTGGAACCCCGTTCCGAACCAGCAGACGAACAATTGGAGCTGGAATGCGCAGAGCCAGACGTGGGGGTGGAATAACGCGTGGACGCCACCGACGGGGGTTAGTGTTCATTCATAATGGTATATTTTATACATGGGTTTCCGCAGGTTCCGCCACCTGCACCGTTAAAGCCGCCGCTTTTGCCGACGCCTTCTAATTATAATCAGTTTAGTGCGCCCCCGGATAGTGGTAATGATAATGCGAACTTTCCAGGGTGAGAATAGCGGTTTCTGGGGGGTTTTGGAAATTGATATTTTATGGTTTAAGGTACAATTCCACGTCGAATAATGAGTATAGTTCGGGGTATTGGACTTCCGCGGGCAGTTCCAAGCAGATAAAGCCGCATAATAGGAGGTTTAGTAAGGTTAATGTGCCTAGACCGGTGCAACCAGTGGTTACGGAGGCGCCCCCTGCGCTGGACGCGTCAAAAAGGAAGCAATTGCCTGCTTGGATACGTGAAGGTACAGTTGGTACCGCGTTAACTCAGAAAATAGGATTTAAACACGAACAAAATTTTTCACGTTTTTAAGCCAAGTTTATAAACAATTTTCTATTAAAATAGGAAACCTTGAAAGTTAACACATATCTAAAAAACCAAAACCGAAGATAACAAACGTTTATTTTGTAATTAAGTTTAAACAAAACAATTATTATAAATATTGCGACTTTTATATGTAGTTTCAATTTTTTTACATTTTGTTTACTTAATAAATAGTTTGAGCAACGAAACTGACAATTGGTCATTGTGACGTCATAGCATTATTGAATGACACAATCTTGATAATTATTTGATTTCTCATTTCATTGTGGTTTATAATATGTTGTCTAGGTTTAGAAAAAATGGAACGCGATAAGCAGAAGCAACTGGAACGAGAAAAAGAGAAGCAAGAACGCGAGGAATACAATGAAAAACTGAAGCAGAACGAGAAAGAAACTATGGAAATTTTGAAGTCAACAATAAAAGAACAACAAAGGAGTAAATTCGTTAGTTTTGTAAATTAGTGTGGTACTGTATAACTTTGTATATGTATCTAGGAGAGCGACGGCGACTACTCGGACGAAGAAGTACCTGAAAGAAAAAAAGTGGTGCAGCATCCGGAACCCGTTCCGTTGACTCCAGCCGAACAGGTATGCGCAGTAATCGGTTGCTAAGTCACAAATTGTATTTTTTTTTTTTCAGATGATGAACGTGCGTCGTACCATGACCGAAATCCTCCTCAAAGTAACCAACCGCGAGATCGAGTTGATCTGCCGCGAGGAACTGCAGCGCCACCACAAGAAGCGCAAAGGTATCGGTATTAGGGCGCCACTTGTAAACGTACAAATAAAAAAAGCTTCGTTCGTATGTTCGTTTGATTGATTTTTTCTTTCAAGTTCAAGTGTGGGACGCCGTCCCCTCTCACCCCGTTCAAACTTTTTCTTGTCAATTCTTTTTGTGAGATTGTTAGCAGGCTTGATGGACCTAATTGTGTATAATTTATGTAAACTTCAGCTTCAGATCAGCGTGTATCCGCACCCAGCGGTGCCAACGTTACCGCCAAACTTGGTAAGTTACTCACGATTTACCAGTCGACAACACCCTCTCCTTTATTCTCAAGTCTTTCACGAGTCGTTTGAGAATAAGCTTTTTTTTAAACACGCGGACGCGTCTGGTTGGGTTTTTGGTTAATGTGTGCTCACGACAGGGCTCGGGATCTACGGCGGCGGCTCGGGGAGCAGCAGTAGCGGCGAGAGCGACGAAGAGAACGGCGAAGAGAAAGACTCCGACACGGAACTGAAGGTAAACTTTCATGCACGACTCGGCTGGGATTGGTCGATTTCTGCGCCTGCGCATTACGATTAAATATTAATGTTGGCAGGACTCCATCAAGCGCAAGAAGGCCGAATTTTCGAAAACCGAAAGAGAGATAGAAGATAAGTTAGCAGAGGCCGAAAGCCGAAAACAAGAGGCTGTCAGCAGGTCACCATCGCCTGACACAAACGACAATGACACACAGGTAGACGCAAAAGTTCAAGGTCAGTATTGTCATAGTTGTCACGAGTTTTCGATAAAACTAAAGTACGACGCGTAGTTTTGGTAAGATTTTTTTCAATGGAAACTAGATGTGGTTTTTCAAAAGTAGGGAAACGACGAATGAGAAGTGCGCACTGGTAATCGAGTCATTCTTGACAATTTCTAAATAAGGATGACTTGATTATAAATTATCTTGACCAGTTGAGTGTCTAGTCGTGATTATATTGAGTTTTGAAGTCGTATAATCCTTGACAAATCAGATTCCAAATGTCGCGTACACTAATACAGATACACGGACATTTTTGTGTTGGCAATCCTGTGTCCTTGGTATCTGTCATAGTGTACACTCTAGCATTTCTCAAAAATTCCAAATTTCTCCAAACCGCCCCCCATCTCGACTTCAGACACCCCTGGGGAACCGCGACCTCTGCATGTTGCAGGCAACCGCAAGCGCCGCTCCCTCTCCGACTCCAAGTCCTCCGTGAAGCGGACAAAGTCTCGCTCGTCGTCGAGCTCCTCGGACGACGCCTCGTCGTACTCGCGCAAGCACCGCGGCTCCGGCCACCGGTCGTCGACGTCGAGCAGCGGCGGCCACGACGCCAAGAAGGCGTCCAAGAGGGGGCGCTCGCGCTCGAGGACGCGCAGTCGGACGCCCGACAAGAGCCGCCACAAGAGCGTCAAGGCCAAGGCGAAGAGGTCGCGCTCGAGGTCCACCTCGAAGCAGAGGAAGGGGCGGTACGCGAGGCGGTCGCGGTCGAGGTCCTCGTCGTACAGGAGGCGGCGGTCGAGGTCCGGGCGCAGGTCGAGGAGCCCGTACGCGAAGAGCAGGCGGTCGAGGAGCAGAAGCAGGAGCAGGAGGAGGAGGTCGAGGTCGTCGAGTAGCGGCAGGGGTAAGAGGTCGCACAGGCGCTGAGGAGGGAAGACGTGTGCAGGTTATATTTTGTTTCGGATTGTGATTGAAGTTGTGAAAATGCAAATATCGGGGGGCTGATGGAGGTGATGATGGCGTCAACGATAGTATTGCCAAGGAAATCTGACAGTTTTGCGAATTTTGAATTGGATTTACTTGGCAATGTTGAGGTGACGTCGGCAAAATTTTGGTGGGGATAGACGAGTTTTGATTGGGAGTTGAGAGCTTTGACATTTAAAAGAGTGTATAGTGTTAGTAAAAAATTATTTGATCAATCATCACTCGTGATTTCGCCATGGTATTTGCATGTTTCATCAAATTAAAAAATCGTCTTAACGTGACTTTTTTCTGTTTAGGTTAGCCAAGCCCAGAAACCCGAAAATAATTTATTTCTTTGATAGCTTAGCTTCTGATGTAAATTTATGTAAAGTACTATTGTAAATAATGTTAAATTGGTTGCACCATGATGTGAAACACCATAATGATAATTACATTGTACGTTTTCTATTGTAGGTGTATTGTCTTCCTTCTAGTGATAAGTATTTTAATTTGCAATAGAAATGTTGTTTTGAAAAACCACCATGATAAAATTAATGGGCGTAAGCATAACATGATGTAACTTTCATTTTATTTGCGGAATAAATATTTTTCGCCTTACATACACTGATTTAACATTCACTTGCCATATCTTTGTTCACACTTATTATATCTAGATAACAACTCAACAAAATTATTGAACTTAATATTGTGATGGGTACGTATCGTCAGAAACTCAGTCACTCGAATCTGCCAAGGCGGGTAGCCAAACAAACTGAACGTTTTACCACAGCACACCCCCAAATCGGGGTCCGGAAACTGGAAGTCTTTTTTGAGTCTTTGATCGAAACTGTCGATGGTGAAGTCCGCGCCGCCGCTCAATTCTTTCGTCAGCTTCACGAACCCGCCTCTTCCGTCCTGTCTCGACAGCACCTTCACGTGCACTTTGCGCCCCGTGTACCCATTTTTGTACCCCGAGTCCACCCGGTCGTGCCAGATCACGTGATCCGTCGAATTTTTCTTGCCTTCTACCACCAACCGCAATTTGTCTTCGCTTTTCGTCAGCGCACCTGCAAATGACCTTTACATACTTATCTCTGAACCCGATAACGTCGAACCTTTGTAATCATAAAAACTGACGAAGGTTATTCGAGCCGCCAGACACCAAAGAATTAGGTTAGCGAGATCCTGGTAGGAGGGCTCTTCGCAGCCCAGCAGGACCGTCAAGTGGGTCGGAATTTTGTCGAGTTTCATAAAACTTCTGTGTTTGTTTACGGGGAGAAACTCGTGACGAAGTTCATGCAGTTTGTTCCTTAAATGTACGGAAAAGTTTTCGATTAATTCGTAAATCGTGAAGACAAGATTTAGCACTAAATAAAACACTTTGTAGATCACAGCGGCGGACTTGGGGTCCATTTTTAGGCGTTTGTTCACATAATAAACTGGAATCGTGTTTTCAAAACGCGGGCCGCTAGTTATCGAATGAACATGAGACACCGTGTCATAAAATAAGCCCCCACTACATTTTTGACGGGTGACAGGTGAGTGACACGAGGTGCGATTGGCTGCACTGGCGGTGACGTCAGTAATTAAGCCATCAAGGTTAAGGGAAACGGGGCGAACGATAACTCAAAATTATAAAAACTTACGAAAGTAGCTGCAATTTCGCGCAATGGGTGAATTGCAACTTCTAAAAATCTCGCGTTTCGGCAATCAAGAAAAATTACGAAATTTAATTAATGTCATTAGTATGAAACAATTGACTGCAGCAAAACAAACTTGCGAAGACAAAAACCCCCAAATAATCGCGAAGAAATAAAACAAAAATTCGCAATAAAAATTTAATCAAGAAAAATGTATCCCTTCGGTGTTAAAAGCGTGCAGTAACACGATAAAGTCGTCGATGTCCATAACTCGGGCCCGCTTCTGCTCCGCCTCCACCTTCGCCAAAATCTCCTCAACTTTTGCCTTCATGTTAAAACCCTCCGGGATTTCCTTATTATTTAAACTACAATGCAACTTGTAATTTTTTTCCAACATCGCTAGAACCACGCTCTGTCGAAACGCGCTCCCCAGCGTTTTATTCTTCCTTGAGAACGCTATCCTCGTCAGTCCGTCCCATTCCGTATACGAAATCGGTGGTGGCGGATTCCTCGGCTCGATTCTCACCACAGCCGACTCCACTTTCGGCGGCGGCCGGAAATTATTCTTCCCCACTTTCATCAGCATGTCAACCCTGGCCAGAAGCTGCGTGTTTATAGACAAGCGACAATACAACTTATCTCCCGGTTTGGCGATTAATCTATCGGCGAACTCTTTCTGGAACATGAGTACGGCGCAGCGAAAGAACGGCCGGTGCAGCAGCAACTTGAACACCAAAGGTGACGAGATTTGATAAGGGATGTTGGCGACGCACACGCTGAAGTACGGTAGTTCCATTTTGAGGACGTCTCCGATCATGATTTTGAGTTTTTGTTGGTACGGGGTGTTTTGGACGCGTTTTTGGAGCTCCGCGACTAAGCGATGGTCGATTTCACAGGCCACTACTTGCTTGACTTGTTCGAGGAGTTTGATGGTCATGTTGCCGGTTCCGGGGCCTATTTCTAGAACTGTGTCTGGGGGTCTAAGGGCAGACTTTTCGATCATTGAGGTTATGACTAGAGGGTTCTTGAGGATGTGTTGGCCGAAGTTTTTGTTGAAGGTGATACCTTGTTTGGCGATTTCGGTGTGGACGCGGCTCTTTTTCTCGGATTTGACTTTCGGCATGTTGTTGTGGTGTGATTGCACGTGTTATTTAAAGAAATGGTTGGAAAGTTGGGTTATGTTTATCGATAGTTGTCAAAACTAGTGGGTGGTATGCAACCAACAATACTTCAATAGGTACATGTTCCAATGCATGTTCAAACCAGAGAAGAAAAATTGGTTCCGAATAAGACAAAGAGGACCGAAGTCTCCCGAAGACCACCTCTAAACTATCAATAGGATTACGAAGTACTAAAATCAATAAATTTTGTATTTTTTATTTATGATTGAGTTCTCCTTATCCGAAAATTTCACCACTGCATTTAGTCAATATCTGCAACTATCAAAAAATTTGTTAATTTTGACTATCTTCCATTCTATTGTGTTACCCTTTTGTCATGTAAAGATATTCATTCATAATTTGACAATCCATAGTTTCTGACACATTTATATTTTGCCATTTCTCTTAAGAATGTAATACACTCCACATATAACTAGGGCAGTTAGCGCAATTTCTCTGACATTAATAAACATATTCACTGACAATTAATTGAAATCAGATGACTTTGGCCGATTTACGACTGCAGTTACTTTTAAATAAATGCTTACGAAAATTTGTACAGGCACAAGCTTGTGAAAAAATAAATAAAACGTGTTAACTCTTCTCTTTATTCTGAACACTTCAACCCATTGTACACAGCAAAAGTAAATTTTAAATATTTTTCTTCATAACGAATTTTATGTTTTGAATTAACATTTCTGGACCTGAAACATGGAACACGGTAATAAAGTTAAAAACGGTAGTTCGCACAAGTTACACTGGGATTCTGTCACACAGGATAAAAAAATTTGACAAAACGTGGATTTTCCCAGTTTAGGGCTTCAAAATCTCCCTCGGAAAAGAAAATATCCAATACAACAACATAGTGTTACGAAAACTATTTCTTTTTCACTTATGTACATGTTCACTGACAGCAAAGTGAAAAGTCAAACTTTGTGAGTTTATGACGATCTAGAACTCAGGAATTAAAAAACTCACCTAAAATCAATAAAAAAAACTCCTTGGAAATCAGAACAAAAACTGGATTTTATTCCAAATTTATAGGTTCTGTCAGAGTTTATACACACTGATGATCTGAGTTAAACACTCTAGAACATAACAAAACCTGAATTTTATACGTTCTCAGTGTTTACAAACACTGAGAATCTGAGTTAAAGAGAGACTATTTATATTTATGTACATCTGATTGTATCTGAGTAGTTCTCTCAAACGATCTGAGTTAAAGACTCTAGAACATGTACACTTCACATTTTTTTAATCAGAGATAAACTTCGTACTTTAGACTTCTTTAAGTTTTTATTCATCTTAAATTAGTACAAAATAGCCACTTTAAACACTATTTTAAACTAACAAACGATCTTCTCCAGGTTTATTAAGATCGATACTCTCATAGCTACTTTCAGAGTTACTCAGCTCCTCTCTATTGTTGCACAAAGCCTTGAAACTCGTTTGAAAATTCTTATCGCAATAGTACAGAATGGCAATTACAACAATAGAGTTACTGTACCCTATCAGAGTTACCAGTGCCGATATTTCATAAGAAATATGTAAATCCTCATCAAAACACTTAATTGCAAGCAACACATCATTCGGTAGCCAACACAGAACATGCGAAAACACTAAAATTAGCACCAAATTAGACCTTCCATCAACACTTATCGTTCTCAGTTTGAACCCTCTCAAAACATAAACAGTTAAAACAAACACAATATACACAATCCGTATAGCTAACCCTAGCTTAGATAACTCGCTCAGAGCACACCTAAAGCACATCGAAACAGCAAGTATTGCTATCACCACCCAGATAGCCACAATTTCCCACCTATAATAACTCCTAATTTTCATCGGTACATGCCTGGACGCAAAATGCGACAAGTACCAATCCACCGTCAACCCAACAACAAACAAAACATTCCCTGTGTAAGCCACAAAAATCTCAATGAACCACACACAAGCGATTTCCTTCCACACGTACGAAACCAGCGCCAGTACCATGAAATTGATGGGAGACAGTGCCAGAAAAAGCACACTACAAACCCTCCAACTCACGATGTACCAATTCGCAATAGTGTGCAAATTTTTGAATTTCGTTATCAAGTAAATCATGAGCACGTCGGCCACGATTGAACCCAGATTGACCACGACGGCCGGAACCAGAACCACATTTGAGGGCGGAGTGTAATGAAGTTCGCTTCCGAAATCTGTGTCGTTGTCTGTGGTCGTGTTGGCGAATTCTTCCGGGTCCATTGTGCTAAAATTTGATTGGAGTATAGAAACGCGTGGTGAATATTAAGGACTTACCGAAAGTTAACAATGCATGGTGGCAACAATGCGTTGTTTGTGACACGGATGATTTAAAGCTCTCGAGACGGCGAAGAGACATTTATAGATGCAAGGACGGAATTATTAACCACTTACGGGCTGAATTAATGTGAATTACAGAAGAAATGGAAGTGACTTAATCGTGTAATGTTAGTTTTTATAAGTAGACGGTCGTTTTTATGAGATCGGGGGTAGCAACGCTGGGGGAAAAAGCACTATAGTTAAATTTAGTTAAACTTAATTAAACATTTGCATTAGAGAATGGGGACGTTGTTACATTAATGAAATTAAGAATTAAGTACTATTGATTATGTTATTTGCTTAATATCAATCGATAGATGTGAAAAACGGTCACTTATTTGTTAATAATGGAAAAAAATGGGTGTTGTTGAAGACATACCAGTCGTAGTGAAATGTGTACTTAGATTAGTTGGGATTGTTCAAATTTCAAACACTAGCACTAAACACACTCTTTTCAAGATCCTACCAATTCCTTTCTGGGGCTATTACTTCTACATTTCTTTCAATATTTGGGCTGATTTCGCATCAATAACGTACCCAAACGTCACCAACATTTTAAAATACTCAGATTGTGTTTCTACTTTGTCAACAAGTATTTTTATGTTTGTGGATCTTTACATGTTTTATAAAAGAGATAATCAACTAAAAAAAATTGTGCAGACGTTAGACGATTCCAGTGTTGGTGTAACAAAGTACCGGAAAAATACTTACTATAGAAATTTTCTTTTGCTGTTAATGTTGTTCAATATGATCTTGATTGTCTGTGGCCTTGGAGTACTAATAAACACTCAGTACCACCTTTCGTACTATATTGCTATAAGTATTTTTTCGTTAGACGTTCTCTTTGTCGAAATCCTTTTCAACGATTTAATCCAAAAATTCCGTTTAATTAATGACCAGATTTTAACAATACAAGTACTGCCTGTGCACCAGTCAGTACCCTGTTTAGACAAACTATCAAATTTTCACTATCATCTCGTCAATGTAGTCTGCCACATCAACAAAGTTTTCGAAATTACTCTTCTAGTAGGAACCGCGTCGTGGTTTTTTATGGTTATCAACGAAATCTATTATCTCATTTTCGTATCGTTTCGTCTATCTTCTGCAGAATTTTCCTTCTATTGGTCGCAACTCCCGCTAATGGCGTGCTATTGTTTTTCGATTTATTATCAAGTGAAAGTGTGGAGGGACGTCCAAGACGAAGTACCAAAATAAATAGGTTTGATAAAGTACTAACTAAAACGTTGCAGGCTAACAAATCTGTCATTTTTGTCCACGATTTGTGGAATTCGTTACTACTAAAGGGTAAAGTTGGTGGTGAGGTGCGCCACCTGCAGCTAATTTCTCTCAGAATGATCAACACCAAGCTCGAGTTGACAGCCAGAGGGTTCTTTCCACTAAACGGATCGTTTTTATATATAGTACGAACGTTTGGTTGGTTGTTTTGTGTTACTAATAACGTCGTTGTAGATTATTGCAGCTGTAACCACTCACGTTATTATTTTGATACAGTTTGAAATATAAACTAGTAACACCACAAACTCCAATTTAGATTACGTTGTTCGTTAATTTGTTTAAGTATTCGTGGATCCCCAATCGCGTGACCAATTTACATTAGCTGGAATTATCTAGATACTTATTTAAAGAATCAATATATTACAAGTCAAGTGACAACAATGCCACCCCTGCTCGATTCAACCCCTGCTCTGATCAAATTCATCTATCAACTTCTAGGTGTGGCTCAATTCACTTTCACCACCTCACCAACGGAATTTTTGAAAATCAGGTCACGCCTTTGGTGCTTCGTTTCCTACGCCTTTTTTATCTACCTTTGTGTCTCTTATAACCTTAGTGTACACCCAAGTAGTGAAGTTTTCACCTACCTCGACTTGTTGGTGAACTGTGGCAACATCACCTACATGATCGTCTTTACCACAATCTTCTACAAAAGAAGCAACAAGTTAGAGACTTTGTTAAACCAAATCCAGAGAATTGAACTAGATGTGCCTTTGTCTATCCGAACGAAGCAAACTTGGATACGGATGATTCTTCTGACTACGGTTTCAGCAATGTTGATTTGTTTCCCTTTTCGAGAACTCCCGTTCTATTCAGTGATCTACTTCATCTACCCCTGCATCGTCAACTGCTTTGATAATCTCTTTATCAACGACGTTTTCAGCTGCATTTGTGACAAATTCAAAACTATCAATCTCCAGTTGGAACGCATCAACTCGGTTGATTTGCTCCGAATCTTCCCCTTGACGAAAATTGATAAAATTCACGTTTTGGAGAAGGAAGAGACCGACTATAATATCCAAGTGATTGAACAATTATCACACTATCACTATAATCTGGTCATGTTGACTAGTGAAACGTTGAAAGAGTTTGAAGTTACGATTCTAGTGGCGATGGTTCAGTGGTTTTTGAACATGATCGACGGCAACTACACTCTGATATATTTGATCAAAGACAACAAGATAGGGTCAGTGAGGTTCACCAGTAATGTCACTTACGTCGCTTTTTTAATGAGTTGGTTGTATGCAATCATTGCGAAAATGAACGAAACGAGAGAAGTAGCCGCACGAGGAGGTAGTTTTATCCACGATGTATGGAACAGATATAGTTTCAAAGGAATAATTGATAAGAGAATTCGTCATTTGGAATTGTTTTCGATTCGAATGTTGTGTACTCGGGTTGACTGCAACGTGAAGGGTTTTTTTAGTTTGGACTTTACTTTCTTTCATCTGGTAATGAGTTAAAGACTTTTGAAAAAATTTTAATCGTTGGTTGTAGATGGTAGCTGCTGTGACTACATACATGGTGATACTGCTCCAATTTGGAATGTAAATTCTTATAATTGGAACAAATTTAATAAAACCAAATATCAATAGCACTCTCCGTAACTGTTACTAATGGTCAAAACTGTGTATTCTTCCACAGTCGTGGATTCGTTACAATGACAACAAACTTGCTTCCGGTCACTCCAACGTGGCTCAAGTTTTTCTACAAAATTTTCGGAATCGTGCAGTTTCCTTGCACCACGACTTCAACCAGTGCGAAAATTTTCGCCCGGTTGTATTGTACGCTTTCGTACGTCTACTTCATCAATTTTATCTTTCAGTATGACGATTATTACTACGAAGCTAAAGTACTACGTTACGTGTACGTGCTAGTTTACTACGGAAACGTCTCCTACATGTTCATCTTCGTTCTGATTTTGTTTATCCGCAGCGACAAAATTAAAGCAGCGCTGTCACCTTTACGTGAAATTGACATACCCATAGAGGAGACAAAACGTACTTCGTTGAGGATTGTCCTCATCGTGTCGTATGTTCCAGCTTTATGTTTCTATTTTCCGTTTAGAAAGATGAACGTATTTCGCGTGTTTTATTTTTTGTATCCTACTATAGTCAGTATTTTTGATCTTCTTTTTATGAGTGACGTGATGGATGGGTTTTGTGATAAGTTTGGTGGGGTGAACCGGCAACTTCAACGTATGGTGGACGAGGCCGACTTAAATGGTGACTTAATTCAGAAACTTTAATTCAGTCACTACGATTTGGTGGTTTTAGTACAAGAAATGGTGAAGCAGTTTGAAATTACCATTATAGTGTCTATGGTTCAATGGTTTGTGAACGTGGTCGACTCTGTTTATACGGTTATAGTTCTAGTGGCTAAACCCGAATTTTTGGTGGACGTACGTTTAGCGAGTAATTTTTTTTACGCTATGTATTCATTTTCTTGGTTGTACGTACTCGTAGCGAAATTCAGCGAAACCCAAAAAGTGGCTAACAAAAATGTTTATATCTTACACGAAATTTGGAACAAAGGAGTTAGTAGGAGCAACAAGAGGTTTATGACGTTAGTTTCTCTCCGTATGCTCAACACGACGTTGAAATTTAACATCGGAGGTTTCTTCTGTTTAGACTGGAATTTTTTTTACATAGTGGTGGCATCTGTTACCACATACTTGGTTATATTAATTCAGTTTTATATTTAATTGTAGATAATAAAACTGTACAATTATTGTGTTTGTTTCCAGAGAAACAATTCATTTCCTTTAATGATGCACGTCGATCGTACGAGGGCAGAATATTGCGCACACGCATAATTAAATTGGGTTCGAATCGTTATAGACACGAAATTAAAGTGACTAATGAAAATGAAATATGTTATTTACATTTGCATTAAGTATAATTAAATGAGTGGAGTCACAATGACAACAAACTCCGCTGAATTGCTTCCAACCACTCCACCATGGCTAAAATTCGTTTACAAAATTTTAGGAATCGTGCAGTTTTCTTACACTACGGAAACCACTTCAGTTCGAGCAAAAATTTGTGCACGCTTGCACTGTGTCCTGTCCTGTGCCTATTTCATAAATTTTATCTTTCTATGTAACGATTTTTCTTACGAAGTTAAAGTAATGCGCTACGTACATTTTTTGGTACATTATGGACACTTTTTGCATATGTTGATAATCGTCTTGAGATGTTTCCTCAGAAGTGACAAAATTAAAGAAATCTTGTTACATTTACGCAAAATTAGAGTACCTCTAGAGTGTTCCACATATAACAGAAGATATAGTTTGGCAAGAATTTTTCTCATCGTGTCGTATATTCCGTCTCTAAGTTTATATGTTCCGTTTAGAAAGAGAACCGACTCTCACCTCTTCTATTATATGTACCCTAACATCGTCATCCTTTTCGATCTTCTTTTTATGAACGACGTGATGGATGCATTTTCTGAAAAATTTGGTGGTGTAAATCGACAACTTCAACTTGTGGTGTATGAGGTAAAAGCGCTTGACCAGAACGAACAACGAATCATTCTAAGGAACGAAAAGATTCAGAAGCTTTCATACAGTCACTGCGAACTGGTGGTTTTAGTGCAAAAAGTGGTAAAAGAGTTTGAAATTACCATCATAGTATCCATGGTTGAACGGTTCGTCAATATCGTAGATTGTATTTATACAGTGACAGTTCTAGTGGTTAATTCAGAACCTGTGACGTCTGTACGTTTATGGATTAATTTTGTTTTTGCTATATACTTATTTTTTTGGTTGTACGTACTCGTAATGAAATTCAGCGAAACCCAAAAAGTAGCTAACAAAGGTGGCTATATCTTACACGAAATATGGAACAAGTGCCTTAACAAAGGAGTTAGTGGGGGCAACGTGAGGTTCATGACGTTGGTCTCTCTTCGTATGCTCAACACAACGTTGAAATTTAACATGGGAGGTTTCTTCTATTTAGACTGGAACTTTTTTTACGTAGTAGTGGCATCTATTACCACTTACCTGGTGATATTAATTCAATTTTATATTTAATTATAGGTAATAAAAGATGTACAAGTATCGTCTTTCTTTTTTCTATTGATCCAACCATTCCGAGTAAGAATATATGATCGGTCGATATCTCGGCAGTACGCGGGCAGAATATTGCACACACGCCTAATTAACTCCGCCAGAGGTGGATTTTCGAGTAAATATAGGCAATAAAAGTTACACATTTATTATTCTTTGTAACAAAAAGTAATACAATCTATTTCTAATATGATTAAAGTGGTACTAGACACATTCAAGGAATTAAAGCAACAAATGAAAATTAAACATATTGTTTACACTCTCATCACACAATTGAATGAATGGGTTCATAACGACGAACAATGGCAGCACAACTTCTTGAATCCACTAGTAGAGCTTTAAAATACATCTATAAACTCTTGGGGATTGTCCAGTTCTCTTATTCCAAAACACCACCAAAAACTACAACGTCCAAAATCATTCCTCGTCTGTGGTGTATTTTATCCTACTGTTATTTCATCAACATCTGCATTTTCTACAACACTGCTTCTCATTTCAGCAACAAAATAATGGATTACGTGCATTTTATGGTCTACCACGGAACTGTTATCCAAATGGTCGTACTTTTCACAATGCTGTATAAAAGAAGCAGCAAATTAAAAACGTTGTTGCTCCGTCTTGACAACATGGAAACACCGACTCACCCACCACCACGAAAACGATTCCTCGTCAGATTCACCCTCATCTCTGCTCTAATCCCAGTAGTACTATTTTTCCTCCTCCGAAGCGTCAGCTACTACTACGTTTTTTTCTTCTACTGCTGCATCCTCAACGCCTTTGACAACATCTTCCTCAACGACATCTTCGACTCCATTTGCGACCAGTTTGCCTCCATTAATCACAAACTACAAACCCTAAGTCAACCCCACGAACCCGTTATATTCATTCTCTCCAGAATTTATCCCACAGTCACTACGACATGGTCATTTTGGCGCTGAAAATTTCAAAAGAATTCGAAGTGACAATTACAGTGGCGATGATTCAGTGGTTTGTGTCCGTAGTTGATGGAACTTACACATCTACAGTTCTCATAGCTAAGTCTTTAATTTTTACCACAAGATTTGGGTGCAATTTTGGTTATGTGGTGTTCTCGTTTCTTTGGTTGTATGTTCTCATCGCAAAATTTAACGAAACTGAAGAACTGGCGAATAGTGGTGTTTTGTATTTGCACGAGATATGGAATAAACGTGTTTGTGGAAAGATTGATGCGGAGTTTCGATATCTTCAACTAATTTCTCTTCGGATGCATAACACAGAGATAGAGTTTAATGCGTGTGGGTATTTTAGTTTGAACTGGAGATTTTTTCAGATGGTAACTATGTCAGATAGAGAGAAACGTAGTTAAATGTGGCGCTTTTAGGTGGTTTCGGCTCTTACTACGTATTTAGTTATACTTCTACAGTTTTATATTTAAAATCTAAGTGGAGGATCTACGCTGTGCTGATTCTACTCACACTAGCATTGTCGAGACAATATTTCTCCAAGTCTTTGTTTATCCACACAACATAATCCACTACTGGATAAATAATTAATGAAGATGAATCGATGGACTAAACACTAGAACACTTACAACAAACCGAACATAACAATGGCTACAGAACTTCTAGAGACAATTCCTAAAACGTTCAAATATATTTATAAGCTGCTAGGGATTGTCCAATTTTCGTATTGTAAAACACCACCTAAAAATAAACTTTCTAAATTTGCTCCTCACTTGTGGTGTGTCTTCTCCTATGGTTATTTCATCAACATCTGTACTTTTTACAACAGTTCAAACTACAACGTCAAAATAATGTTTTATGTCCATTTTCTGGTTTACCATGGAACTGTGCTTCTGATGATTGTACTATTTCTAATGTTCTGTATAAGAAGTACTAGAACCAAAGCACTGTTGATTCGAATCGACCAAAACAAGATGAAGTGTCAAAAATCAACAAAGAATAACAGGACACTCGTTCGGATTATCCTTCTTGGGTGTCTGTTAACAAACGTAGTTTTTTTCATCTTTTTAGAAGTGGGTTACTACGTGTACATTTCCTACTGTTGCGTCATCATCTCCTTCGAAAACATTTTCCTTAACGACATTTTCGACTGTCTTTGTGACAAATTCACTCTAATTAACCAAAGACTAGAAACCTCAGTCACAACAAGTAACCAAAACAAAATGGATACCATTCAAGATTTATCCCACCAACACTACGACTTAGTCCTCGTAACACTACAAATGTCAAAACAATTCGAAACAGTAGTAACAGTAACGATAGTTCAGTGGTTCGTGGCCATGATCGACTCCATTTACACTGCTACAGTTCTAGGAGTCAAATCGCAGGTACTAACAGCCCGATTTGGCTCCAATTTCAGCCACATTGTCTTCTTATCGTGCTGGTTACTCGTACTCATCGCAAAATTTAGCAAAACTCAAGAAGTGGCCAACTCTGGAGCCATAATTTTGCACGAAGTCTGGAACAAACACGCTTCTAAA